GGAGGGCGTATTGAGCTCCAATCCTCGCACACCCTTATTCTAAGCTACTCTAAGACTTCTAGACTTACAAAGAATCATCCTAGGGTCTTCCAGGAGTCCTTCCGGCTGACTTTCCTTCGGTCTTCGAGAGTCTTTGAGTCTTATTTCCGACCCGGACAATTTTAGGGGTCTACAGGCCAAAAGTTGACTCTAAATTTTGGCCGACTCTAAATCAAAACATTCTTGTTTCCAATAGTAATGCTATCTTTTATTTGTTCTTCAACTTTTACATACAATGCATAAATAATTATAATATGGTAATACATTAGATGATATATTAATATTAAATTTTTAAAAATTTGAAATATAAATTATATTAAATAAATGCTTCTATCATAATTAAAGAGCATATAAGATAATAAGACTTATTAAAAAAGACAATGTAGTAATTACATAATATAGAAATCACTAAATTATTTTATTATAACATCTTTATATTTAATGTAATTTAAATTAGGATGGTAAAATGGGCCATGATTTGCGGTCAATCTGTTGGTCCGTCAAAAATTGATGGATCGAACCCATCATTTCAACCCGTCAAACCCGTCAATCTGCCGAGTCAAATGGCGGGCTAGCTTATCACAACTCGCCAGTCTGCATTTAAGGTTCTTGTTAAAAAAATAGTAATTTGTAAGTTTGTATTTTGGTTTTGATTTTGTTGTAAGTGGACTAATTTGTATTTTGTTTTGTTGCAAATTTGTAATTTGCTTTTGTTGAACATATATTATGGACAACATGTATGCATTTTCAATTTCATGTGATTATATTTATTTATTTGTAGTAGTTTTTTTTATTTGAACATAATATACATTTTTAAACAATGTTTTAGTGGTATGCGGGATGGCCCGTCGACCCACCCTTAGGCCGGGCGGGCCAACATTCCTAGCCCGTTTTTCAATGGTGGGCCGGGGCAAAATGGGTTGGGTTGGCTCATTTTGCCACCCCTATAGTTTAAATGTATTAAATAATGGATATAAATATTTTTTTTAATAACAAAATTAATCCTATTATTAGTAAGAAAATAACATATTAAATAATATTTATTTTTAAAAATTATTTATTTTTATATTATAATTTTATGATTTAATAGTTTTTTTATTAATTATATTTAAGTTTTATATTTGTACAGTAATTAATAGTTAATGTAATATATTGATTTATATTATTATTTTAAAATATAATGATCATGTTAAATATTTATAAAATTTTATTTTTTAAAAATGTAAGTACCATTTATTTTATATATCAGTAGAGGGGTTGAGACACTTCATGCCTCTAATAATTATATGTAGATAGAATATTAAAAGATTGCATCTGATTATTTAGATAAGATATGACTTTTTTTTTTACCATGTGAGGGGTATAACAGTCCACTAAAAAGTGGAGATAAAAAAATGGTTACATACTCCCGAAATCCCCTTTATAATAGGTATAGATGTAATTCTCCTCAGATTTTCAACGGCTTCACTCCACGATATTTCACACGATAACATTTTACATAACTTCTCATTAGTCAACACTCGAAAGGGTAGCTCTTTCTGAGATGTATGTCCACTTTTTAGGATCAACGAGTGATTCCACAAACCAACACAAAACTTTTCGGTATGCTTTGTCCTTACTCGCACACTTTCTGAGAAACTTTCCAAAAGGTCACCCATTTTTAAATTGTTCTAAGTCAAGCATGCTTAATTATAAAGTTCTTATGAGATAAACTACCGAAACACAGATGTATCTTGTTGGTATAAATAATACAAATGAATTCCTTTAAGTCATCATCAACTATATAATCTTATACTTGTACAATCTCTATATCCCTCTCATTGGTGTGTCTAAACTGTTACAATAGATGTATAATTAAATAAAATAAATATAATTATTTTCATTAATAAATAAATATATTATGTATAATTAAATAAAATAATTATTTTCATTTTTTTTAAATGTTGTGTCTATTTAATATTCTTAAGTAATTAAACTTTTCATATCTAATACTATTTAATAAATTTAAATACATTAAATTTTGGTAAAATAAAATGATAAAACGCTTGTAAATAGTAGTCTACATGCATATAATCTCCAATTTAATCAAAAATTTTTTTTACTTCTTTCATGTAATTATTTCTCTTGAGATTATTATTTGTATTCATCTTTTTTAATAAAATTATAAGGTAAGACATCAAAATGCTATTTTCATTATTACAAGATAGGATGTTGAACAATGAAACACAAAATTAATATTACTTATCTTGATGTAGAAACTAACACATATTGATTGAGTATGTATGTACACCAATTTTATATAATCTCGTAATAAAATCATCAATATTAAAAGTTTGATGTAAAATATAATATTATTATTAACATATTCGTTCAGGACCGGTCTAACATATTATTATAATATCTTTAATAAAGAAATATAAATATTTTAGAGATAGCTTGAAAAAAATAATTATATTTAAGATAGGTTTTTTAAAGAGAAATTTTAAGAAAGAAAAAAAAATGACTTTTAAATTATAAAACCTTAAAAAGAAAACTATATAAATATTAGTATAAAGTATTTTTTTTTGAAACAGACCTATAGCAAGGATTTTGTTAACTTGGCCTTTAGACCGACTATGTATACACTAGTTACAATGAGTGAAAAATATATTAAACTTATTATTATATATATTAATTTATAAATATCATATAAACAACTTTTTTATTCTTATAAAGTAAAGATAATAATTCTAAAATAAAAATATACGTTAAAACTTGAAACTAATAAAATAATTTATTGTTTTAATATATTTATTATTATTTAAAATATATATTAATAAAAAACCCGTAAAATACACTGCTTGTGTTGTGTGTTACGGAACCTATTCCCATCTAAAATTTGCCCTAAGGAGAACATACTCTCATAGTTTCTTTTCTATTGCCACTCGCCTTCTCTTCTCCTTTTCAGATTTCCGTCTCTCTGGGAAGGGCACCCAGCAAGTAAGTTTCCTCTCTCATCTCTCTCTCTTTGCGTGCAAGGATAGTGGGAAGAAAATTAACCTAGCTGCTTCTTGCATATAGGTTTTAGATAAACTTGCACCTGAACCTTATAATTTTGTTAATTAAGCATTGCCTTTGTTTCTTTGATTTAGCCTTTAAGTTTTTAAGTTGTGTATAATCCTATAAGTGGATGTTACTTGAAATGTGCTTCATTAGGTATACATAATAGCTGAGAATTCCCCTTAAGATTCCTTCAGGGTTTTTGTGGTCAATTAATTCAGTGGAGTTGTCCACTCAATTTGTCATATACTCTGTTTCTTATTGATTCTTTACCATATTACTATCTTGGATTATCTATTTCAGAGTCGTTTATTGAACAGTCTAGAGGCATAATGGGGAATAATTTTGAATGAGAAGGTTGTTTCCCTAAATCTAGTTGAGCTATATTTTTGTACTGAAAAGCTGAAGTTTTGTATTAAGTTCTTTTTCCCCCAACAAAGGACAATAATAGATGTCTAGTGACTCTGCTGTCCAGCAAATTTTCTATGTGTCATTGTAAAGTATAACAATCAGTTGAATGAATTGAGAGCAGAGGCATGGGTAGACACCAGTGATAAATGATTTTTATTCTGCTAAATGGGATGATCTCTATCAAAGCCATACACATATTGTTTTTATTGAGTCCTTAAAATCTATGATAAGAAACTTGGGAGAACTACACCCTAAAAGTTAGCCATTGTAGTTGGAGAACCCAGATCAATATAAACTCCCACTAGAATTCCACACTTCCATTGTGGGACTCAAGTTTCATATCTTGCGATTGGATCCTAAAAATATACCTCTTGGTCTCCATATTCTAAGTTGTACACTTGTACTGAAGACATGCATGAGCACCTTCTGATTAAAAACCTACTCTAAACTTGGTTTAAAACTATGGCTATATGAATGTCATTTTGGGCTATCATTGTGGATTTTATGACAAATAGGTTTTATTTTGATAGACCGAGTTTGTGAAACTATATGCTTCCTTGTATCCAGTGTTGTGATATGGTATTATATTACATTTTCTGTTTTGAAATAAAATGTGTTGATGACCTGTGAAAAAGGATACTGCCGCATGGTATTTTTTCCTTTTTAAATGATAGTTGATCTTTTAAATTAATTGAGACTCAAGCACAGGCATTGTTGGTACTTAAATCAGACAAAAACAGAAAAAGAAGATTCATTATCAAAAGTATAAACATTTGCAGCTTATGTAATTTCCAGTAATAGGTATAAAATAAAATGCTATGCACATTGTCAATGGGGTGTAACATGGAATTTGACTGATGAATTCCTGTTTTATAATTTCAATGTAGTGCCTTTCATTTGTATGTGTTCCTGTTTTTTAACAAACTTGACTCATGGTGACAATTTGTCTTTGTAGCATCTAAGTTGTGGGAAAGGAGTACCCATTTCCATCCAAAGCTTAGTTCACAGTTGCATTTATTTGAGAAGATAAGATGATGCCAAGGGCATTATTGGCGAAATTTATTCAGAAACGCCCAACTGTTTCTCTTTTCCAATTCAATCAACAGGCATGTTATTGTGCTTTTAATGCAGTACCCTTGTCCTGTTTCAACATCTTTGCTTATCTCAAAGGTTTTGAAATTTTACAGAGAGAATTGCATAGCAGGAACAAGAAAGCCTTGGAGTTCATTGCAAAAGGCTGGAATGCTTTGAAGGAGGTTGATAGAGTCATCGATTATTGTGAGCTAAATGATAAGGGCCTCATTCCTCTACTTAGGGTAATAAATACTTTCTCAACCTATTACTATTTGCTTCTTTATTTGAGATTTGATACAAGAGAAACAGACACTTATTTGAAGTTCAATATTAGACAGCTAAGGAAAATTTTGAGCTTGCTTTAGAAGCTGACAACTCCAATACCCAAGCTAGGTATTGGTTGTCCAGATTGCATATGAAATATCATGTTCCAGGAGCTAATAAAGCTGTGTAAGTAAATTCTTTCTCTCTATGATGTATTCTTTCTTCCATCTCTTGATATTCTTCATCAATAAATGCAGAATTATGTCATGTTATTCAGACTCTATTATTTATTATAAATTATTATGAAAGTCACTACATGGAGCCTATGGTTCCCTACAAAATTGTTCAAGTCAAGCTACTTTCTGATGTGAACTCAGCTGAGTAGCAATCCACATTGAAGGGCCAATTAAACATTATGTTCACATGGAATGGAATGCCTCAACACATTATAAATCTCATTTTCAGTAGTATGATGAAGTAGCGATTCTCTGTTTTGTCATCAATGACCTCCATGTCAATTTTGTGGTTTACTATTTAATGTTCTTTTTTAAACAGTTCTCATTGACTGTGTACCTTGATCACTGTCCAGTGATCAGTTTTTTTGAGGTTTTTGGTGCTTGGTTGTTTATTCAAGTCACATAAAAATTCTCTGGATTCTATCTACTGTGAATTCATGACCATATTTGCCTTCTTCCCTATGCAAACAGAGGGGCAGCGTTATTGGTAGAAGCAGCTGAAATGGGTGATCCCGATGCACAGTATGCATTGGGTTGTCATTTAAGAGTTGAGGTGAGGATGCTCTAACCCTTCTGTTGTGGTGACATCATTTAAGTACATAGTTGCCAACTCTGCAAACATTTTGAGCTTATGACAGTAATCATTCTTTGATGCCTCCTTGAATCACTTAATGACTATTAAGTGCTATTTGCAGATTTAAGTTTTTGATTTTTTTTTTTTTGTGGTTATCAAAAGAGATGTATTACCTTATGGATAGCAGTGGTAGGCTAGAGCTCCGAAAAAATGGCCTGGCTGTGATATTATGTATTTGTAATAAAATGGTGACTTGCTAGCAATTCCTTGTTTCTTTGTTCACTTGATTGCTTTTGTGCCATTCTATTAGATTTCCATGATGTACTTGAGTAGGAAAATTCTTCCATGTGATCCTTCTTCACTCTTTTATGAGTATTATCCATATATACATTATTGGATAAGGTGATATATGAAATTTCGGAGCTTTCTTTAGTTATTTTTACTAAAATGTTTTTTTTTTAAATATTTTGTGACAGAATGACGATGTTCAAACTGATCAACAAGCTTTTTATTATTTGGAGAAAGCTGTGGACCAGGTATGTGAACCTATGGAAGGTGTATGGTTATCATGATCTACGAATGTCCAACTAAACCTTGGAATATATGTTCTAGTTGCATCCAGGTGCTCTTTACCTTGTGGGTGCTGTATATTTGACAGGCGACTGTGTCAAGAAAAATATTGCCGCAGCATTGTGGTGCTTTCACAGGGCATCAGAGAAGGTAATTAGAGATGGAATATACCAATTAATCAAATTTAAGCCACTGATTTTATATAAAATTCTTGCAACTCGTTCTGCATTTGCAACACTGTTTTCTTAATATTGACGTACAAATTGTTCTTACAATCTTTTCTTATGTCTAGTTAATTAGACTTTGGAGTCAACATATTTTGGAATTTAGATATCATTTGGTTATATGCTGTTATGATTTATTTAGCACATGCCCCTAAAAGTGCATTCCTTACATCACCTAACAGTTTTTGCATGGACTGAAATATTTATAACATAAAGAATTAAAAGAACAGGCTTCTTCATACTTTATAGCACGCCATAGCTCCTAAAATAAAACATCAAAGGGTTGTTGATAGTGTTCTATGGCACCATAATGGCACAGCGGGGTGGTTGGCCTCTATAGAGCAGCTATTGTAGGCATTTTCATGGTCACAGTGGTTGCAGTCGAATCTGATCATGGCCCAGTTCACACGTAGCACATTGATGCTTATGGGTTTTGAACACACCATTTTGTCCCTGTTGTAATGTCATTTTGGGGCTTTCTTTGGAGCTAAAAATGAGACTTTACTCTTGGTTAGACCTAAAAGGAAAAACCCTGTTTGTCCCTCAATTCAGCAACTACATCTGCAAGGAGCCAAACACACGGCCTTCTCTCTCTTTCTCTTCTCTAGAGACCCCTCTGCAGCTCTGCTCTTGCCTACCCACCTTTACTAGACACCACCTCTTTGATGGCCGTTATCAGTCACCATTACTTCTATGTTACTGTTTCCTTCACTTTTATTGTTATTTACTTGTATGTTTTGCTTAAGACCTATGACTTCTGCTATTGATAATTATCAATATGTCATTAATTTTCCATATCTTTTGAGAATTATATTTAATTATGCACATAATATATTTTATATGTATGTATAAAAAAAAAATTGAAGTAGTAGCTGGATCTTAGGCACCACCCCTACTTTGGCATTTTATTGGCTCGGTCGCCACATGCCATTATTTGGAATTGATAACAAGGTAAAAAATGTTTCATGAGCCATGACCTGCTAGAGTTTTATTGATTGCTCATGCTCTGATTTGCAGTAATTAAAGTTTTGTTAAAGTTATATTTGTGTCTTGATTCTGCTTCTAGAGCTGACGCTGGTTTACTGAAAAGCTAATGACTTATTTAAATCAAGAGGCATGTTTGATGGGACCCGTTAAATGCTTGTTGAGACTTGTCTTCTATACCGATGGATTAAATGGGAAATAGTCCTCCTAGTTTGAAACTTTTTTCTAAAGGACCTCTTAATCACATTTACATGTTTGTGTTGTTGAGGATTGGTATTGCCTTTATCTCATTTACATGTGTAAACAAGATAAATATTTAGCTGCTTGTTTACAGAGTTAGTCTTTGTTTCTAAATTTCACTCTTAAACATGTAGGGCCATGCTGGGGCAGCTATAGCGTATGGATCTCTACTTCTTAAAGGTAAGCTTGTCATTCTGTATTATTCTCATCTTCCTTTCACCTTATAGTGTGGTATATCATTGTTATAGGCTACCTTATGCTCATAATATTTATGATTAGCCCTACAGGCACTTTTAACTACTCGTAATGTTTACCACAGAGTGGTTGATACTGAATTTGACCTGGATGAATGACAAGTAACAAGGATGAATGAGAAAGATGCGTTATCTGAGTATATAAACATAAAGCACCCAGAGAACACATGCATATAGATATGTTTAGTGAAAAAGTCATTTTTATATGAAATTGTGAGGAATAAACTTAGATTGTTGGTATAGTGGAATGCAATGTCAAATACGTTTAGGTTCGAACAATTCCAGGATAAGATTGAGCGTGCAAGGGATAATTGATTGATTTCTATTTGAGTATGCCATGTGCTGTGCAAAGAGAAGATAAGGCACAGTCACTTTCAACTTATCAATAAAAGGAAATGATACCTGGCATTATATTATGTGATTGCCAAATATCAAAATTCCCTTATATGTGAACTTTTTTTTTTTTTTTTCAATGTTGATGATAGGAGATTTGTTTTCAAATACAGATCTCGGTTAACTTATTTTATACTTAAATTTTTTAAAATAAATATAACAAAATAAAAGATTTCATTTGATACCTTATGATTTTCTTATAATTTAAGCAAGTGTAAATGTTAATTACCTTACATAAATAAATTGTTTAAAGTTTGTTACTGAAAAAAAAATAAAATATTGTGCCTCACTCAGGTGTTGAGGTTCCAGAATCGTTAATAAAATTCAGTTTGAAGAGAGGTGCAGCAGCTCATAGACGAGGGAAGAATAAAGGAAATCTTGCAATTGACCCCGTGGAGATGGCAAGAGAAAAGTTTCAGATAGCGGCAAAAGCAGGGTGTGACCTTGGATTCAAATGGCTTGCAAGGTTAGAGGAGGAAGAGAAGCGGTTACTCACGGAAGGACATTCAGATTAAATTCACAAGTTTTGTGCTATTGGTAGCACAACCCTATGTGAATTATTCGGTTTGGCTTCTCTGAATTGGGGATTTTAGTCATTGTTGAAAAAAATAAAAATAAAGTTGTGGATTTTTATTAATGTATAGAGTTTGTAATGATTGTCTATTATTGAACTTTTTAATCTACAGTTGAAATTTCTCAATTTCCTTTTAAATTTTTATTGCTAAATCCTGATTTAACTGTGACATGTTTGTGCACAAAAGTCACTTTAGTTGTTAGTGTGCCTGTTTACATGTATATATGCATGTGCTGGAGCTGTTGGCTAATCAAAGTGATGGCAATTTTTAACCATACCCATCAGTTGTCTAATTCTTGTTTATGCTTTATTTTTTTTTTTCCCTTTTGCATTCTAATAAACATTATATTAGTGTGTATATAATAAATGATTTTTTATATTATAGAAATTGACAACATAAATTTTTTTAATATATAATTATATTTTAGGTTTGTAATCAGTAATTTAAATTCAATGTTTAATTTTAGTTGACATATTCTTTGAAAAAATTATTGAAATTTAATATCAAAATAGAAACAAGAAGCTAGATTAAAAAACATTAAGCAATAAGATTAATTATATTAATAAAAATAAAATGAGTGATTCAAAATTATTGAGAGAAAATTTTGAGTTAATATGTAAAATATACTTCTAAGGGTGGAAAAAAATAATTAAAAACATTAAATCAGGGAAGTGCATGTCTTTTTTAAGTTTTGCATATTTTAATTAATGTATAGGGAATACTCTGACTAAATACAAACACTACAACTTTTCAGCAACACTAATAATGTGTTCTAATATCTCTTACTACTTTTTTTTATATAAATGATTCGAGATTGTCCATAGTGTTTATGAATGTGTAGTTTGAGAATATTATATATTATAAATCATTGTATAAATGCGTATCAAAAGATATTTATATTTTAACTTCTTATTGTGTATTTGAGTGACACAATCTTGATAAACTATATTTTTTTGGGCCGATTATAAATTATATTTTAGTATACCCTGCATATGCACTAATACAGACACACTTTATATATATGGCTATGAAAATTAAATTCAAAGAATAAAATAAGTGATTAAAAATAATATTCTAAAATATTATAAAAAGATACTATATTGAAAAGAGAAAATAAGTGAATGGTTAAAAGAATCACCATGCGTTGTTTAGGTATGTCTCATTACTAAACAGAGTAACCCAAAACCCTAATCTACTTGAATGACTATGACGTGAGTGGGGCCCAGAGTCAAAGAAAAAAGCAAACATAAAAACAGAGCAAATGTACAAAAAGAAATGCCCCAAAAGCGGTTTTCGATATTGTGGGCGTTTTCTGCTTATTTCTGAATTATCATCTTCGTTGCTACCATCACTTGATACTCGAATTCACCTTCACTTTAATCACGAATATCTGGTTTCATCGAGAATGAGAATGAATATTAATAATATTTATTAAATCAGAAATGGAAATGGAGATGAATATATATTTATTTGTAAAATATTTATATTCATACCTACTTTAAAATTTAAAATTTAAAATTTATTTTTTTTAAAAATTTATTTGACATTTATATACTTTATTTTATTTTAAATTTATGTTAAATTAAACTTAATTAATATAATATTATAATTTTTATTTTATATTGTATTTTTAGAAATTTTTATAAAAAATATTTAATTAATTTATAAACGAATATGATATTCAACAAAGATGAAGATATAAACACAAATTGTATACCTATTAAATATGTTGAGAAAAATATATATAAGATACATGAAAGAAAATAAAAAATAAAAATGAGTATTATTATCATAATATCTTACTTCTTATAACTCTATCTCGAACTCTACTTAAGTAGTTAAGAGTATCTCTAGTGGGAGTTATTTATAAGAAATTCTCTGTATCACATCATGTCATATCAGTTCTTTTTTACTTTATGAGTTGCTTATATTTTAGTACTGAAATTTCTACAAGCAACTTTGTTAAAATTTAAAATCATAAAAATATTTGCAATAATTTATTGGAGATTTATATTTGCAAGAATTTTTGCAATAATTTTCTACAAATATTTTTTCGCATGAAAATCCTTGGATAAATGACATATTTTTAGTAGTGTTTTAATCTTTATATATAATATTTTATTTCTTTTTGATCTCTATAATTGTATAAATATTATTTTTAATTTTTATAAAAATAAACAAAAGGAACTAAAAGGAAAAAAATGATATGTATATAGACTAAAACGGAACGATTTCAACAATAGAGTTTATGAAACTATAGAGATTAAAAGGATAAATAAATTCAAATTTTATATCATGTTATGTAAGATTTCCATGGAATGGTTGGTACGTAAATTTTTTTGAAGAATGTAAAATTGGGAATACTTAATTCTCATATTTAGTTTACTAAGTTTTTGACCCATGAACAAAATATGTAAATTTAGAGATTCATTTATTTGTTAATTAATTTCTTAATATGTATGATTAGTTTTAATCTTTACATAAATAGTACTTATCCTACAATATTATAAAATAAGTGTCATTTTAGAAAGTAAAATATAAAATAAGTGTCATTTTAATTTTTCATATAAAAAGGAAAAGTAAATTATAAAATAAGTGTCATTTTAATTTTTCAGTGTAATATTAATTACTTTTTTATTTATATCCATAATAATATTTTTTTTTAGAAAAAAGTTGTTCTTGCATTGCATCGCTTTTATCAAGGTTAATTTGGTAAAATTGATATTATCTTTCATTTATTTATTATTCTTTTGATTTGTTTAAAATAACTTAGGAAATTACTTATTATTATGGAATAGAGGAAGTAAGTTATATTAAAGTTTTTAATCTAGCATTTATGATTTCACGAGTTATGAGATCCTGAACATACATCTAACGTATTTTATTTTTTTAATAACATAAACATTAATTCACAAAGTGAAATACTCTAATTAATGAAATCATTTGTTTTATATGATTTACAAGTTGAAATCTGACATACTATTACCCCCAACACGTTCTAATATGATATTGAGAAAACACATACTTTCTAAAAGAATTTAAATAAAATAAAACTCTTGAATATGCATGATAAAAGGGTTCTAACTAGGGATGACAAATATACCCGTACCCGTGGGTAATACCCGAACCCGTCCCGACTTTGACGGGGAATACCCGGTTTGACCGGGTACGGGTACGGGTAAAACCCGATATATTGAATCGGGTACGGGTACGGGTACGGGTATGTACTTACCCGCCCCGTACCCGTCCCCGTTCCC